TCTAACTAATAAACGTCGTCACTAATACGTCAGTTATCATAGCTCATCGACCATTTATTGCAGTTCACTTCTTTCAGCGGTCTAGTAACTTGCCACTACCGATAAGAGAGGATGGCCAAAAAAATGGTAACTGAATAAATACGGAGCAATCGTAATGCGCTTGTAAGCGGTGATGAGGATTTAGCCGTGAAAGATTGTCGTTTTCGTTCATCATTTCCTGTAATCTCTTTCTGACACCCTTTCCCTACCTCTTTGTCCTTTTTCCTGCTGTATCGCATACTGGAAATTATGCTCTTTACTTGCTGCGCCGCGCACTATGAATTTCGATAATCTTTCTTCTGGCCCCTCCTAGGAGCCCTCAAACCTGTGCTTTCCTTTGCTTACTTTACACATTCACCTACTTCGACCTTTGATTTACTATTCTTTTATTTGCGTTAGTACCAAATACATCTTTAACATACTCGGAAACTCAAGCAGCTTGGTGAATCAGCCGCCGAAGCAACCTACCGCTTTTATCATTGCTCACCCCGAGAGTGCCTTGCTCTATGGAGCGCCCCCGCACTTAGCACTGCGAGGCTCAGAATGGCCCTCACTAAGGTTGTTGATAACCATGGTAAGCTACTGATAACGGTATCTTATGAACAACTATCATACATCTGGAATCCGCTCACTTTAGCGGTAGCATCTAAGGTTACTTTTGATAGGAGCGGAGGCATGGATGTGTTTCAAACTACTAAGAGTGTGATACAACTGAGATAACTTCTGAGAGTTTCGGTGAGTCTCCCACTCTGGAACCCATCTGCTGGTATCGCTTGTCACCCGTCATCACTGTTCCCGTCCCGCCTTCTATATCACTGCTTAGGACGACGAACTCACTGCTGCTGTAACATGCGTTTCGAATTTGGTGGCCCTCCCCTTCTAAGGCCCCTTATCGTATCTTATCGGTTGTTAACATTTTCTGTCACCCTCGTGCAGTGTTCCCATTCCACCCTTATAATACTTTTTGGAACCACGGTCCCACTGTTGCTATAACCTCTGTTATGAATTTGGTGATCTGAAGCCCATTATCGTATCTTATCAGCCCAATCACTTCCTGTCATCCGCAAATAATGTTCCCATCCTAAATCATAAATCTTTATGAAAACCAAGGTCCCACTGTTGCTGTAATCCGCGTAACGAATGGTTGACCCCCCCTTCTAACGGTCCTTTATATCTTATCTTATCAGCGGATATCACTTCCTGTCACCCACCAATTGTGTTCCCGTCACACCTCCCACCGCCTAAGGTCCCACAGACCCTGCAACCTGCCCTACAAACTTGGTGACCCTTCGCATCTAAGGCCCCTTATCGAATCTTATCAGATGTTATCAGCTTCTGTCACACAGCAATCATAGCCACTTCCCTACCCTATACCACATCTCGAAAACCAAGGTCCAGCGTTCACTGCAGCCTGCGCTAAGAATTTGATGACACTCGCGTCTAAAGTCCCTTATCGGATCTTATCAGATGTTATCAGCTCCTGTCAGCCATCACCCTACCGTGTGTATCACTTCTTGAAATTACGGTCCCGCAGCTACTGCAAATTGCGCTACGTTTTCGGACACCCTCCCCTTCTAAGGCCCATTATCGAATCTTATCATATGTGATATTACCTCCTGTCACCCACCAAAAGTGTTCCCATCCTGCCGTGTATATCACTTCTTAAAATCACGGTGCTGCAGCTGCTGCAAATTGCGCTACGATTTCGGTCACCCTTCCCCTTCTGAGGCCCCTTATCGTATCTTATCAACTGATATCACTTCCTGTCACCCACCAATAGTGTTCCCGTCACACCGCCTACATCACTTCTTGAAATCAATGTCTCACTGTTACTGGGACCGGCGCTATGAATTTCGTGACACACAGACAGACGCACACACCACATCGATACACACACACACACACACACACATTACGACATACTTAGCGGATTATATAATGGAGTAGCGATGATACCCATGTTCGACTATCCATGAACCTTGGCATGGTGTGTGTCCTTGTCTTCAATTTCTTGAAGCCACAACCAAGGTGTTAAATCACTTTATTGGGCTAACGTTTCGGCTAGTCGCCTTCGTCAGAGCCTGGAAGTTGAAGATCAGTGATTCAATCCTCATAAATCATTTCAAACTTAGAAATAGTTCGTAGATCAGCGCATCTGCTGTACGGCCGTAATCGAAACAAGTGCTACTGTTGGAAAGTACGGTAGGCTTTGTAGAGCGCCACCGCCCTAAAACTGACTAACTGCTGTGTGGCTTCAGATGACCTCTCGACCTGAAGCGATGCGATGAAGCCCACAGGTCGACGGGGCCGAGCTCGTTTGTAATGGCGAGGCATCAGTCTATTCTTGATTCATTCTTTGGTGCTTTTTAGCGTATCCAAAAGGCCTCCAAAGTTTTGCGGGCTGAGGTCTGGGGCTCTCGCATCAGAATCCTCACGGTCACCTCAAACTCCACACCTCCATGGCACTGCGCCTTTGGGCTCCCGAGGTTCTCCGGTCTTGACTTCTTCAAACCATCCAAGTGGTCCCTGATCCTGGAACAAAGGGACCTCTGGTTACCCAATGTACTCATCCCCACAATAGGCCAATGATATTCAGGTAGATACGTCTTGTATCTCATAATCACCCAATCGCCACCCGCGCTTGCGAATCAGCTGTTCCCTAAGGTTCGCAGGGGATCCCGACTACACGGACTAGACCGTCGAGACCACACCTACGTCGTTCTTACGGTGCAGCTGATCGCGTCGGCTCCTGAAGGGCAAACAATATGGCACCTTCCCAGACTGCTCGACTTCCGATCCCTCTTGCCTCCTAGTGGGTGGTCCAGGCAGGCATTTAGCCCTTGAGGGGAGTACCCGTTGGGAGAGGGGAAATGTTCTTTCCTAATTTAGCGGTGGTCCTCTACAAAGCCTACCGTATGTTCCAAGGTGAGTACTTGTGTTTCGGATTTGCGATACCTTCCTAGATGCGCTGATCTACGAACTATTTCTAAGTTTGAAATGATTTATGAGGATTGAATCACTGATCTTCAACTTTCCAGGCTTTTGAGAGGCGACCTAGCCGGAACGTTAGCACGTAAACGTGATTTTACCACCTTTGCGGCTTCAAGAAATCATTGAAGATAAATTTTATGCATCCCTCGAACGACAGAGCGTGTGGGGGAGTGGGGGGAATCGCACACTACAAGCAGTGCGCAGTTCGGCAACGGCCAACTTCACCACATCGACTTGTCGAGCCATCGAGAGAGCATTACGAGAGTGACAGGCTTTATCTTGGTGGCTGGACAAGCTTGCTCCAGCTACACAAGAGTTTTCACAGGTTTTCACCAGAATGTTAGACTTGTAAACCGGAATATAGCGAATGCGGGTGTACAGCTGATGCTCCCCCGTGTCGAACGGCGCACGCACTAAGGGTACAGCTCGTTCGCTGTCAAACCCATGTGGGGGGGGGGTCGTATTTGTAGACAAATTTATTTTGTCATTAGTTGATTATTTTCTACATGGAAAGGGCGGGTCGCATATTAATTTTGTTTATATGCACTATATGGCATTTTGTCGTGCCTTGCGACATTCGAGATGGGGGGGCGGGGCGTCGCTACTCACACCGACATTTTCGCACATTCCCCTGCTTGTACCCTGGTTTCATGGACTACAGGGGGGGCAAAAAAAGTCATTCCGGCCGAGTCACATATGAGCGAAGTTTTCGCAGCCCAGACAGAGGAAGTGGATATGAGTACCAGGGCGGAAGATACCCAACTTCTTCTATAAGCAGGAGCCGGCTTGACAGCCATTCACCTTTATGTACACAAAATATGAGGTCATCTCCAGCCGCAACCTGACTGGAGAAGACCTTCGGAACTCATGTCACCTCCAAACAGCTGCGAAACTTCTAGTATGGAGTCACCCATGGATAGCTACCTGGAGACCAGTACTCTTGATCTGCAAGACCTCAAACATCGAGCAGCTCCGGCAACGTCGCTACGGCGGTCCAGGACATCATCTCTACAAACACTAATGGCAGCGGCGTTGATTGGGTGTGGACCAGCCGAACCTGAATGGATGAACCGATATTTTCTTCGTGGGCCCCAGACTGAGGGTGTGCGCTGGTGGCTACATCGAGCAACTCGAGGAGAATATCCCATCTTCATGTCGTCGCCCGTACCTTCTTGGAAACTTTGTACTGCTACAGGATTGGGTGACAACACATTTAATCGAAGGGCGTTGGAAAAACTTTCGCCTACTTGGAATGGAAGAACGTTGAGTACCTGGAAAAGATGGAGTATTTAAGCGGGGGTCCTGAACTAAACCCCCTCAATTACTCGGTTCGGGCGGAGCTCAACAGGGTGGTCTACAGTGGCGGAGAAATCAGACGTATTCTCGCGCTCAACTCCGGTACCCACTCATTCGCGCGGCCGAATCTCTCGATGGCGCTCCTCCAGAAGGCTGTGGCGGAGTATCATTATAGTATTTAATGTGCTCTTTAATATGGTAGTAAAAATGTCCGATAAAAATTTAATAAAGTGTAACTTATAGCGCCTTGAAAGTCATGGAGGCAAAATGACTTTTTTTTGGCCCCCCTGTATATGCTTAGACCTGCTTCCGCAAACGCAGCCCATTGTATCACTTTTGAGTTAAGTCCCTCGTTATGAATTTTTCTGTTTTTCCCCTACTTCCTTTCATATCCTTTCATTTCACTGTTTGCTAAGATATGATATCGTAGAGTTGACCTTTATTTAATTCAGTGAACTGAATAGAATAGATCTCATATTCTGGCACTCGAGGGGATGGTCGACGGTTCCTAACGTACAAAGTGCAGTCCGCATCCATTTTTTTTACATTTTACCCGAGTTTACGCCCTCGAAAGGGAACTTACTATGTACAGAAAAGTTTTTCCCAATGAGGACAGGTTGGTTGGTTCATCACACTGCTAATAATATCCGTACGTTTCAGGATTACGTCTTCTTCTTGACGTTCATCAGGACGACTATATGCCAACAACAGAAGCGGCTGGTGTACGTATTGTTGTTCATGAACAGGTGAGTTATTTATCAACACCTTTGTCACAATTAGCTCACAGCAGGGAGGGGGTGGGTGGGAAGGAATGGATGCTAGTGTTTCCATGAAGCTCTAAAACATTGCACATCATGAACTGTTTAGGATCAAGAACCGTTTCCGGACACCTTCGGGTACAGTGCGCCGACAGGATTTGTGTCGTCATTTGGGTTGAAGACGGTAAATGAATAAACTATTCCCATTAGTTCGAAATGGACTCCCATCTGAAATTATATCTCAGAAGGATCCACTAGCAGCTGGACTACTACTTCACATTACAGTCCTTTTATAGAAAGTGCTTCATAGAATGGATGCTCCATATGGGGCATGCAGCGACACGTTTCGGCCGGAGCGGTACATCTATGAGGAACATTATTCTCCTGAAGTAAGTTTCACGTTTTCCTTTTGCCCTTCATCCTTTCTTTTGTTCCAATTTGACATTTTAAGGGTTGCCATCGGAGCTGTTTTCAACTGAAAGTGCTCGATCAGTGTGGTTGTGGCGATCCACGATTTCCGCTACCATCCGATGGGAAGCGATATTGCAGTGCGAAAAGTGTTGCTGACAGTCAGTTTCTTGTTGAAGTTGCTACGCTGCCATGCGGAATATACAGGGGGGGGGGCAAAAAAAGTCACTTTGACCGAGTCACATATCAGCAAAGTTTTCGCAGCCCAGACAGAGGACGTGGATACGAGTACCAGGGCGGAAGATACCCAAGATGTTTCGATAAGCAGGAGCTGGCTCTCGCCCATCACCTTCATGTACACCAAAATATGAAGTCATCTCCAGTCGCAGCCTGACTGGAGAAGACCTTTGGAATTCATGTCACCTCCAAACAGCTGCGAAACTTCTAGTATGGAGTCACCCATGGATAGCTACCTGGAGACCAACACTCTCGATCTGGAAGACCTCCAACATCGAGCAGCTCCGACAACGTCGCTACGGTCTAGGACATCATCTTCACCGTAGTCGCCAAGGCGCGAGTTGATGGTATGGACCGGACGTACCTGAAAGGGAAGACCGATATTTTCTTCGTGGACCCGGACTGAAGGTGAGCGCTGGCGGTTACATCGAGCAACTCGAGAAGAATATCCTCCCCACATGTCGTCGCCCGTACCTTCTTGGAAACTTTGTACTGCTACAGGATTGGGTGCCACCACATGGAATCGAAGGGCGTTGGAAAAACTCTCGCCTACTTGGAATGGAAGGGCGTTGAGTACCTGAAGAAGATGAAATATTCAAGTATGTCCCCTGACCT